CTCAGAGCATATATACACAAATACCCACAATTAATGCTACAGTCTTACCAGCAACTGACGACTTCATCGGATGACCCAGACAGACATGCGCCGCCGTGAGGTGCGTCACCTGCGCGTGCATTTGCTGCATCTGAGCAACGCCTTCTGTGAGTATGTCTGCAAGTGTTCCCCTCACATTAACGTTTTCATCCCTCTCCAGTGGTGAATTGTCCGATCCTTCTGCCCCGTTCAATTGAAGCGTTTCAGCATCGACTGTTCTATCGCTAGCTAATATTCCGTCTGAAGACCCTTCAGGCAGTACCGTTTGCTGTGTAGTTGCGGGGTCTTGGCCATCCCTTTCGGATGATGTGTCTACCAACCGCTCGAGCTGAGACCGCCAATCGCTGTGTGCGATGCATGTGTGAGAGCGAGAGAGAGAGGTGTTGAGTTAGTTATACGCCAAGAGAATTGTCCGAAAGGTTTTCGTCGGTGCAATTTCATATACATCTCTCTACACGAAAATGTATGTACCAGAAGTCGACTCTGTAAATGAAGCCGAAATCCCTACGCACTGCCCTGCCCTGCTTCGCCTCATTTGTCCGGTATCTGTACCGGTCCTATCTCTCACACACCTAACCGCCCACCTGACGGTATGAGATTACCTGTTGTCTCACTTTAAAGTGACTTTAAAGTACACTGAGCTTACCATTGGATAGCTAAGAAAGATGGGGGTTAAAGCTTTTTAGTGCTTCTAAAACCCCGGCTTGCGAATGGTTACCTATATCAGATTTTTGCTACCGCGACGACGAGGGAATATGTTCCCGCCCATCCCCTCGCCCATTTAAACCGTATAGGTGCAACCCCACACACCAACCTGTCTGACCACTCATAAGCAACGAGATAAAGGCATTTGCCTAATACTTGAGTGATGTTTGATATGTTTTGCACTCACCTATACAACAGACTTTACTGTTTCCTATATTGTTGATCTTCCCATAGGCCATACTATCCACCCCAACACATGGCCAAAGAGCTTACCTACACAATGACTACCTACCCATCCCTCTTCCTAGTTACCCGTGGGCCATTCTACTCACCAACCTATCCTCTCAACTGGCCTTTGTTCGACCAGTTCCCTTCACCCGCACTTATTTCCTCACATACGTATTTTCTCACGGCTATTTTCTCACGTGTCTACTCACATGGGGGTTTGTTTTTCCACTCGGCGTCCACCCACCTGTATCTCCGAGCAAGTAGTTGCGCATTGGTAGTCATCGCTGCACCGTGCTGTTGCAGATGGTGGAGGGCCTCCGGTTGCCATGCCAACGCATGTTTAGAGCCAAGACTGTTCTGCAGTATACCGGACATGCTGTTACAATAAAGGGTGAGCCAGAAACATACTTAGCAGAGGCGGATGATATAATGAAACAAGTCTTTTTTTCCGCATTAAATTGTATGCTCAGAATCGGGACCATACTGCAGTACATACGATATGCTGCTAACATCGTACATGATCAAACAAATAAATCGGTTGTTTGCATATCAAGGTACAGGTTTAGTGCCGAGATTATACAGAAGAATTACAACCTCTCATGTCAGCCCGGTTCATGCTATCGCCTACCCGGTATAAGCAAGGCACATCTATTACATACATACATACATACATACTTACTTACCTAGATACGAATATTAAAT